TAATATTGGACTCGAGTTTGGCTCCAAACTTAATTTATACTGAATTGAATCGAGTTTTTCATGAATTGAGATCAAATGACTTGTGAAAAACTTGGTTCATATCCACCCTTATTGTGAGAAACACCCAATAAAGAGTATTTTGAATAAAGATCACCGAAAGTTTCTTATAATACCATTTTCTACATCATATGGGACAGACATAATCCTTTGCAAGGATATATGTGGATTCCATCTTGAATGGATTAAAAGGATTTATTTTGATCTTAACAAGTGTTTGGTGTTACCTCCGGTTGATTAATTACTTGGCTAAAACATGTTCTAGGTAATTAGTTTATTTGGTATACAAATTACAAAAAATGCATGATACATGGTAAATGGAAAATGTGTTCATTTCGTGATTATAACTAATTATGCTCTATCCATCCATATAAAATTCAATTCCTAAAGCATCTGATGACTTGTTCTTGAATCTCAGGCTTAAAGAGCATGTTTAATCTGGCCATTTAATATGCGTTCCATAATATAATTTTTACATTACATAATTTGTTTGTTTTTAAAACAATTATTTTTGATGGTGGCAAGGCCTAAGATGGCGTCACGTGACATCGGCCGGATGCAATCTTGGCCGTTCACTGCTAGTTAACTTCAGGCGAGCCCAAATATAAATATGTGTGCCACTCATGAGATAATCTATTTGGCTTTTACTACTCTAAGCTCCCTAGTTCTCTGTTGACCTCATCTGAGCTATCTCTATTCAGGTTTTGCTTGACCCCTTATTGCGCACTTGACTAACTTGACCATTGGAGTCTCTGTCCCTGGGATAATACCCGGGGCCTCTGACATACTCTTTAATCCTCAAGTCGGACCTTACAGCCTTCAGACACATCAGTCCTCCGATTTGTCAGCCCTCGGCTAAAGGAAGTTTAATTACATTGTTGCCCTCGGCGCATCCGTGGCAGCATCAATTTTAATGGTTTTAGAAACTTTTTTTTTTGAAATAAAACTAACTTATTTTTACATTTCAGAACAAAAAGACAATTCAAAAAGTGAGTTTTTCGTTCTCTTGCTGATGTGGTAATTTTAAAAATAAATGAAAAGAAAAACGTTCATGTTGTAGGACACCCTCTTAGTCTGTATTTGGTTTGATGAAAATAAGAACTTATTTCAAAAATAAATGAAAACAAAGAAATTCATGTTGTATGATACCCGCTTAGGCTGTGTACGTTTGGTTTCATAGAGAATAAGGAATTTCAGTCAACCCCCTGTTAAATTCTGTCTTGTTTTCTACCAAAGCAAACATAGCCTTTGTATTTGTTTTAAAATATAATGCTGTTTTCTTGTAATTTTGGCTGTTTTATTTGTTTTTTTTTTTTGTGATGACCTGATTTTGATGTATTAAAACGTATCGGTTTTATATGATTTGGTTTGAGTCTCATTGAATTGGTTCTTTTGTTATTTATTCAATAAATAAAATTCACTAGCTAGTAGAAAAAATAGAAAAATTTAAAAAATCAAAGACAAAAAATCCCACATGTTCATGATTGTAGTAGTTGCGAGTTCCACCCCGGAGTCCAGATCACCTGCCAATAAAATATGTTTTAATACCCTCCCAACATGATCTGGTATACCCGGCTCACATCTCAAACATGACAAGTCCTAGTGTTTTATATGATGGGTCTCAATTTCATGATAAGATGTGCGGTGTAAGATCTTGTTGGGAGGGTATTGGAACGTGTTTTGTTGTCTGATGATCCCAACTCCCCACCATTCCCCCATCCCATCTTGTTGCCAAAATCCTATAAGGCTTCCATTAGAGATAAGAGATTTTTCTTGAACCCATCATTTAAATGGCACTAAAATCAATCTAGTTGAACAAAATGTGCTTCCCACTTGATCTTGCCTCAATTAATTTGGTGGAGAGTGGAGATCCCATTATCATGATTTGATGTCAACTGTCAATGAAGTTAACCCTAGCTTGTTTTCCTATATTAAGGAGAGCATAAATCTCTCTGGTTATTCAGAAGTTCATACTATTACCCTCTCTAGTCTTCTGGGAGTTTCTTCTTTGTTGGGTAAGTAGAAATTTCACAGTTAAATGTTTACAACCATTTTCTTCTGGACAGGGTATGACAGGTACTGTACCAAGCCAGCACAGTCGAGAATGAAGTCCATAACTCTCCTACTGGTCCAGATGATGGTGATGAGCTCTTGTTTGGCGGTGCAGAGGAAATCTCTAATGGTTGAAATATATGGAGAAAATCAGCAACAAGCTGAACAGCTTGTGGAGAATGGAATTGGAAGAGAAGATAATGAGAACATGAATGGTGTACTGTACTACGAGAGCATTAATGTCTTCAACGACCATCATACAATAACCAGAAATGGTGGGCAGGGAAACAATGATTGTTACGATGTAAATGGTTCTGGGTAATTTTCCTTAGTACATACTATATATTTAGTGTGTCTATCTGATCAGAAACATATTTGGGTGTTAAATGTTGTATTCTAAGGACTGCAACTATTGTTGTATATCATATATATGTTATCACAATATAATATAATAAGGGTCTGACCTTAGTTTAATTATATCTCTAAAGCAACCTTATCGTTAGGCATATATCATGGCTAGATGTTCCTTATGGTGTGTATAAGAACATGTCCATTCATGGAACTGAAAATAGCAAAAGAATTTGGACCTTATAAGGACTGAACACATAAAATTAGGATGTGAGAAACACCCCTGAAAGAATACTTTTGAGTCAAGACCAGTGAAAGTTTCTTAATTAAGGGCACGTTTGGTTTGCGGGAATAGAGGTTTGGAATCGGAATTAGAATGGGTCATTTCGATTCTAACTCTTTGGTTGGGTGAAATAAGAATCCCATTCTCATTTCTAGTGGAATGGTCTTCCCCCATTTGAGGGAGGGGTCATTCCCTCCTAGCCCCTCCCCCTCCTCCTTTGGGAATGAAATCCCATTCCAGCTGATTCTAATTTTCATTTGTATTCCTGTCTAAACCAAACAAATTATGGGAGTAGATCATTCTGATTCCGATTCTAAAGAATTTCGATTCCATTCCGACTACAAACCAAACAAACCCTAATATCATACTATTAGAACTGGTTTCAACTTTAATTAGAAAATATACAATGACACATGGAATAGAAAGGGGCAAATTCAACAAATAGTGATGGTTTTTTGGGATAATAGCATATAAGGGAAACTTTTGGGGTTTAATATCAATAAAAATAATATTTTTAAAATATATTTCAAAAATAGGTTAACTTTTTAAAAATAATATCAATAAAGGGCAAAAACACTGTTCATCATCGTCTTCTTGCCATTTGGTCACCAGCGCTGCCGCCCGCCACCACCGCCTACTGCCGCCTCCGCCTCCGCTTTCGGCAACGTTGCCGGAGGTGGCTAGAGGCAAAGGTGGCGGCGGCGACGGCACTGGTGGTCATTTCTTTGCCCAACGCTGCCACCTCCACCACCTCCGCCTCCGCCTTTGGCAACGTTGTTGGAGGTGGGTGGAGACAGAGGTAGCAGCGACAACACTGGGTAGAGGAATGACCACCAACGCCGCCGCCACCACCTCTATCTCCGGCCACCTCTGGCAATGTTGCCAGAGGTGGAGGCAGAGATGGGTGGAAGCTACGGCAAGCAACAACAGATGGTGGTGAAGGGCGGCGGCGGGTGATGGCGGATGGCAGTGCTAGTGAACAAATGGCAAGAAGAAGTTGATGAATAGTGTTTTTGCCCTTTGTTGATATTATTTTTAAAAAGTTAACCTATTTTTTAATTTTTTTTAAAAATATTACTTTTATTGATATTAAACCCCAAAAGTTGCCCTTATATGCTATTACCCCTAGCTTTTATTCAATCCAACACTATCTTCATCACCATTGCCTTTTGGATCCAAACCACTATCATCATCTTGGTTGCCATTGTCATTTGAATCAATGGAACACTATCTTTATAATTATTATATATAAGAAATTTATAAAATAAATTCGGATATTTATGGAATCGAATCAGGTCATATTATATCAAATGTGGAATTCAAAACTAAATTTTTAAATACCGTTGACACCCTTACCCCTGCCTGCCCTGCATCTTGTCACTGCCTCTCTACATCTCTCCTGTAACGCCTTTATTGATTCATGCACAGTTCACTGGAGCGAACATCTCTCTCTCTCTCCAATGGAAGGAAAAGCAAAAACCACTAGCCCTGGTTTTAAGGACTCTTCCCAAACCGCCCACCCACAAGCCCGCTCTCTCCTGGAGCGAATCTAAAACTTCATCCCTCTCCGAAACCGCTGAAACTAATCCTCTGACCACTCTCACTGTATGAATAGAACACAGGGATGCTCCGGCCATAACGCCATATGCACGGGAACGGCTTCATATATAAAGGTGATTTCACCTCATGACCTCAAACATATATAACCGGTGAAGGAGAGAGAAGACAAGAAAAGTTAGAGAGAGAGAAGGGAAGAAAAAGAACTTGATCTGAGCTGATTCACGATGACGATAATGGTGATTTTTCATTAGTTTCTTTTGATAATCGGCGTCTTCGTCATGGTTGTGATTATCTCGTCTTCCTCCATTGATCCTCTGTACTCTGAGATGGTGGAAACGCCGGTCGAACCTAGTTTACCATTGTAGCGTTGAGAAGAGGTGTGAGCTCTGATTCATTGTCGTTTGGTACCAACCTGGGTAAAGGAGGTACATATTTGCAACACCGATTCATACGCCGGTGAAGAAGTTTGCGGCATTAAGGTTGAGCAAAGAACTCAGGTTGAAGATCGATCGGAGAAGGGGGAAAGTTGAAGATCGATGGTAGGTACGAACAGATGAGAGTGAAACCGGGAGGAAAAAGAAGAACAAGGAGAGAAAAGGAGAAGGAGAAGAAGAAGAAGAAAGAGAGAGCGAGCGAGCTAGAGAAAAGAGAAGAGAGAGATGTAATAAATACATCAATAATGTAATTTCCATGTATTTATTACATCGATTATGGATGTAAATCTAAATTACATGTTTATCAAATGCCAATAAAATCAAACCGGGGTGTAAAGTTTACTCCCATTCGATTTTCCACCCCAAACCAACGTAGCCTGAACTGATCACCTTGATTCTGGTATGAATTTCCATCCAATACCTCTGGTCTGCTCCCCATGCAATGTCTTGCACCCAACATGTAGCATTTCTTACCAGTGGATTTCTCCAGTGAGAAGAACTACATGAACATCCATAAGCCATAAATTAAAAATCAACAATATATATAAAAATGAAATGGGTAATTTATTCTCCGTCATTCTAGTTAGCTTTTTATCTACAAATCATATCACTGGAGCTCACCAAATCAAATGGGGTAACTTATGGGAAACTTATGACCTAACTATTAGATTCAAATTTACAGAAATGAGGATGTTAATAGAGTACAGAAGTTCAAAACGTCAACTCTCTTACCGTGTTGCCACAGCCAATGGGTACACCATTGGATAAATGATCATAGATCTCTTTCTTCGACCGGAAAAATGCTACTGGAGGAACCTTGGAGGGAATATCTTCATAATCCGGTGGCAGTAGTCCCTCCCATGTTGCATCAGACTCAGCTGATGATTTGAACACCCAAGAAGAAGCCATGGATAAACTCTTAAGTATACTAGAGGTTTTGAGTGTAAAACGTCAGGATCGGAGATACCGCTTTTTGTTTCAGGCAAGATGTCAAGGTCTCTCTTTCTCATACTTTCTCCAAAACAAGAAATGAAAAGAAATTTGTAGGAAGGAGGAAGAGAAAGTAATTTGTAAAGCAAAACGTTGAACTCATGGTCTGAGACGCCAATCCTGATTCTTCTTTAGTCAAAGCTGTCCAAAACCTTCTCAAATCCTATTCAAAAGTCAAGGTGGATTGGAATTTCAATCCAATGCAAGAGTCCATAACTCTATAGGAACGGGATGTTTGTTACGGCAACGTCGAGTCCATGTAGGCGCCACGTGGTGTTTCCACATGGGTGTTTCGAGTCCACGTCAAATCAAAGCTCCCTTCAACATAGTCAGCTTGCTGGAAAATCTTACCCTTGCATTGTGTCTATTTTGTTGGCTTTGGTTGTACTCGATTCAACCAGCCGCTCGACGCTGGCTTTCAAATTTTGAATTAGGGGTGTCACGATAACCGGATCCAATGGACACAATATAGGAAGTACATCGAGTGAGCACTTTATAAATATTTTAACAACTCTTAAAAGTTGTTTTTAATCTTTTTTAAAGGCATAGTAGGGGTATTTCAATGAATAGGTGTCAAAAAAATTTTGAAAGTATTTATTTAACGTGCTTACAATGACATGTCTACCTGATCCAAACTCTCAAATTTAATGTTTCCAATCTATTGAAATTGATTTTAATTTAGATTAGTTACAACCCAAATCAGGTCATTGACACCTTTTGTGTGGATAATGAAATTCATCGAAAAGTCTTATCATTGATTTTTGTGTAATTGAAGGTAATTAAGTGTAAATCCACTTCAATCTTAAACGTGGCTTTTGCAACTCCCACCATTCAGACACGTGGCTTTTGCAAATTTAAACACATGGCATTTTCTGAGAAGTTGTTGTTAAAGTCCATAGCCCATTATCACCATTTAGAAAAGTGGCATTCTCATTTTCTAGAAAGCTAGACATGCAACAATTTTTGAGAAATTCCTACTAAAAGACATAGCCCACTACCAAAATAAAGCCCCCCACCATTCAGACACATGACATTTTCATTTTTCTTGAAAACTAGACACGTGGCATTTTCTAAGAAGTTGTTACTAAACCCACAACCCACTACCACCATTTTCAATCAATTCCTAAAAAATGCAAAAAATGCAAAAAATGCAAAAGTGATTATCCACAACTACTTTTGCCTACATTCTATCAATCTCAGTTAACCATTAACTCTCTACGTATCATAACAAAAGAAAATTATCTATATTCTAATAATTATTGAAAGACTATTTTTTGAAATAAATATTTATTGAAATTTTAATAATTATTTAAAATATTACTAAATATAAATTTAACATTATTGATTCCATAATGTAAATTTAACAGTACTGATTCCCCGTACTTAGTACGGGGTCATTCACTAGTAAATGGTATAAGTGGAGCTAATACAAATTCAAATTTCGAAAGGGGTGGAATTCAAAGGGATAATAATCTCATTTGAGGTGCAATGCTTCACTAGTCAAATTCTCATCAATTACTAGCAGGACCCATGTGATGCACGGGATTTTTTAAGCAGAAGAGTATACAATTGTTTTATATTTTTTTCCAAATAATTCGTAATTATTTATATTTTATACACTAAATTATTTTTTTACAATACAAAAATAACAATAACTAATTTCAGCTAGGGTTGTTCATCAAATTGATGAAACCAACCAAACACCCAACTTGACCAGGTCAATTTTGTGGCCAAACACCTTACAACCAAGCCAAACAAACCCGTGACCACTTTTAATTTTAGCTAAATTAATAGTGTAGTCACTAATAAATAACAATAGTTTAATCTCCAATAATTATTGAAAATTTATAGCAAAAATACACAATTATTGAAAATATATTGATAATTAAAATACAATAAATAACTAATAAAAATACAATAAATACTAAAAATATATTAAATTAGTCAATAAATAATTTAATATCAAATAATAGTTTAATCTCTAATAAAAATTAATCAATAAATTATAACAAAAATAGAGTAAATACAATAAATTAAATTTAAAAACTCCAATAATTATTGAAAATTTTCTATTAAATAACAAAGCAAAAATAAATTTATACATAATTATTGAAAATATATTTATCACAAAAAAACAATATAAAATTACTAAAAAACAATAAATATTCATTTTAGTATAGATAAATATATAATAAATATAGATTAAGATTTTAAAATTATTATTAATAATAAATATTAATTTTTTGATAGTTATTAAGCATTATTAATTAATATAAGTAAAATTAGGTTTTCACAATATTATTTAGTTATTTAAATAATATCATTAATTAAATTAGAAAAATATTACTTATTCATTGAATTTAATACTCTGTAAAATTATAATTTATACTATTATTACATAATTTCGTTATTAGTTTTGTAAAATATAAAATTATTAGTAATTTTAATATTATTTTTATACTTTTAAAAAATTTTTAAGTTTACTACATAATTTCATTATTTTAACTATTTAAAATCAAGTTATATTAAATATTTCATTATTTAAACATTTAGTTTTTTCTTAAATATTTAAATTATATATCAAATATTTAATTTTTTTTGTTATTTTAAAGTTATTACATAATATTAAATAGTTTTTTATATAATTATTTATCTAAACTTAGTATTTTGTTTTTTAAGATATTTAGTTATTGAAATATTTAAATAATATTTTATTTTTTAATGTTAAATTTTTGTCATTTGAATAATTTGGAAAATCATAATTTATATTGTCTGTTTTGATGAATTTTGTAAAATTATAAAATTATTAATAATACAAATATTATTAAACCTATTATAATTATTTTTTGTGTTTTAATAAATATTTTAAAATTATTATATAATTTTGTTAGAATATTAAATAATTTTTAAATTTTTAAATTCAATCTTTCTTTAGATAGATATAGATAAATGTGGGGAGAGGATAAATAGGAATTTGAGATAATTTAGGAAAAATGGGGGATGCTATGGGAGGTAGTTTAGGAGAAATTTTAGGAGAGGATATTATTTAGGTTATTGAAAATGTGTGAGAGAAAAAGAGGAAGGGAGAGATTTTAGGTATTTTTTATGGGGAAGGAGAGCATCTCATTGGTTGTTTAAAAATGACATAAAAAATAAAAAATTCAAAAAAAGTGAATATTTTCTAGATTGTTGTGTTTTAATATATATATATATATATATATATATATATATTTCATTATTTACTTTATGTTTCATTATATTAACTTATTCAAAATTAACTCGAGAAGATTGTTTAGCTAGCAATAGGATAGTCTATGCAGCGTTTTAAAAACTAACCTGGAGGTTGAACCATTTTTGCCTCTAGGTCACTGGTCACTGGTTCGACTGGTTGGGTCGGATCATGCGATATGGAAAATTATATGTATATATATATATGTAAATAGGTATGTATAAACATGTATTTATCAATAAATAATGTATAATTATGTTTTACATGTAATATATGAAAAATTTTATATTTAATTTATATTTTATTCAGTTTTAAATTTTTTATTTATAAAAGAATATTAAAAATTACAATTTGAGGCCGCTTATCCAAAATAAAAAAAAAAAGACACCTTAATCGAACATCAGAGTGTAAGGTTATGGTCTCTTGAAGTTTGCATACATAGTTGGTATGCAAACCTGCAACCCGATCACCGGGTCGAACAGGTCAATGGTCCAACCATCTATATCAGACGGTTTTTGACTAAATCAACGATTTTTTACTTTCTCCTGATTTTACTCAAACCAGACCCAAAATGTTAATCGAGTGACAGTTAGAGCGGCTCAACCAGCCGGATCAACAGCACTGGGTCTACTATATGGGTTAACTTCATGTTTTTTCACCCCTTTAATTGCCTGGGTTTTCTTTTCATTTTCTTGTCCACAGGGACAACTTATTGCCTGGAAAAGGAGATATATTTTTTATGAATACGAAACAAGTGTCGCTATATGGCTAATTGGCTATGCTGATAGCGTGATAGTGTAAGCTAGCAGCTAGCAAGGAAATAGTTACGTTATTCGAGACTAATTAATATTGTTAGAACATCATTAATCACTTACAAAACACAGCAGGTTTTGAAATTGCAGGGGCCTTTAAGTATTCTTAGATAGTTTAAAGATACTTTAAATAATTAATCTTTTTCCAAATGACTCTCCAAAATTAAGACTCTTCATAAGTGATGGGTTGTCGTGAAACTTCTGAGATAGTTATCTGAACTGGCTTGCATCATTGGGCAATGCAACAGGAAAACCACTGTATTTGATTGACCTGCTTCTCTCTCTACTTTTGTGACATTGAACACTGAAGGGTGTCAAAACCCTATAAGGTTACCATTAGAGACAAGGAATTTTTCTTGAACCCATCATTTAAATGGCACTAAAATTAATCAATCTAACTAGCTAATTGAACAAAATGTGCTTGCCTCACTTTGGTGCGTGGAGAGTGGAGATCCCATGGTCATGATTTTATGTCAACCGTCAATGAAGTTAACCCTAGCTTGTTTTCCTATATAAGGAAAGCATAAATCTCTCTGGTTATTCAGAAGCTCATCATACAATTACCCTCTCTAGTCTCTTGGGAGTTTCTTCTTTGTTGGGTAAGTAAGAAATTTTATAGTCATATATGCTTACAACCATCTTCTGCTGCTGTAAGTAGGATTGGAAATGCTAGTCTGTATACTAGATTAATTTGTTAATTTCCAGAAGTGGGCTATTATGCCAACTTAATTTACTTAAACTGGGGACAGATTCAGGCTCTTTTGGAAGTTTTCAATCCAACCAGCCTGCTATATATAACTATCCTGTACTGATTAATTACCTCAAACTAGTGAACTACGTACTTACATACGTGAAATTGTTTGTTTTTCTGGACATTGTATGACAGGAACCAAGCCAACAGTTGAGAATGAAGTCCTTAACTCTCCTTCTGGTCCTGATGATGGTGATGAACTCTTGTCTGGCGGTGCAAAGGAAATCTCTAATGGCTGAAATAAATGGGGAAAACCAGCAACAAGAAGAACAGACT